CCAGCCTATAAAATTATAATTCAAGTGTTTATTGAAATGTTTATTTCTTGCAATTAATTTGTCAATTTTATTTAGGGATTCGTAGAGTTTGGATTTGAACCATGATGTTTCGGGTTTATGTGATTGAATTGTATGTTGTGGCTTCTTGTTTGTTAATATCATTGTCAGTTGATAAAATCTTAGCAGATGTTTGTTGTTTGTCAATATCATTATCAGTTACTAGAATCTTTGTTGGTGGGTGTCTTGAATTTTATGTTGTGCTTGTGGTAAAATTAGGTTTCAAGTTAGATAGGACTACCAACTTCAGACTTTATTAAGTAGACATTGTTTTATCATTTCAGCTTGATGTGTTGAATTAAGTCGTCAACTGGTGGCTGGTGATCCAATTATTTTGGTGTCAAAATACAGACGTGAATGAAGTTGATGTTTGTTTTAGGTTGTAACTTATAGTCATGTGGTTATGCTTGTTTTGTGTTTATCATGAAAGGATTCAATGCTAAACTGATGTAGCATTGTATGGATTGATTTGGTGGTGTCCAATTTTTGTTGCAAACAGTTCCATGCCAACTCTTTCCTAGATGATTTTCAATTTTTCATGTGTTGTATGTTTTGAAATTTTTTTTGACATTTATAGCGCTACCTAGTTTCCTTTGAATTTGGTCAATCTAATACTAGTTGTCAACAGTTTTTGGTTGGATTATGAACATCATCCATTTTAGTTCTTCATTTAGTCTCCTTTCATATATTTGAGTGGTTCTTTCCTAGATTTTATTAACTTTGTAGATCATTGAAGCTAAGAATTCATATCTTCTCTTACCATTATTTACTATTGCATTCTTACGCTCTTTCTGCATTCTAATGCTTCATTCATCATGACAGGCATTGGAGACCACTTCTCACCACTATTACGCTCTCTCCATTAATTTTTATTCAAATTCACACCAAGGTATTGAGTGATATGGATGGTTTTAGATGATGACATGGGTCATTGGTCGATGTATTACATGTGTCATAATCTAGTGAGTTGGGTAGTTACAAGGATTGCTTAGTCATTAAGCTTTGTATCTAGTATAAATAGTGGTGAGAATATTCTTTGTAACCAACTCTGAGATTTTTAGAAAGATTGCAATAAGATTCTTCCATTTTCTCTTTCTCTGAGTTCTTCATCGCATCTATACGTGATCTTCTTCAGTGCATTAAAATGTTGTATGCCCAAAAGTGTTTGAAGATTATTGATTTGATACTATGTTGGTTGTAACTTTGTAATGGCATGCATTTCAAGATTATTGTAGATAGGTCAATTTGTTTGTTTGTTTTTATTAAAAAAAATTTAAAAAAAATTAAAAAAAGATAAAAAAAACAAGTTCCTTGCAATACTCAATTTTATTCCTATCTCATGTTTTGATTCACCTTATATATGTGAAATGAAATGCATATAATAAGATGATATCTAAACAGATTCATGATTGTTTTTGTAGATGTCAAACTTAGTATCAAGCCGGCAGGCAGCTAGTAGGGCCAGTCAAATACCTTCTCTAGGAGGTAATGCTGCTGCCACCTCCACACCTTATATGGGCACGACGGGTGTCCCACTGGTCACGCCTTTAGGGCCAACAGTGTCTACGGCTCCTACATCATCGACTTCTTCGGTGACGTATCTTGTCCTAAGCGCCTGACGGATTGAGGAGGCTCAGCCGTCTGGTGAGGCTTCCTCTGTCCATGGAGATGAGTCTCAAACAGGTAAGCTTGCTCTGTCCATTGATAAGCTTGCTTCTGGTTTCATCTGTATTCACAGCCATATTGTTATGTTCCTTACAAATATACGAGTGGCACATGTGGTTTCTAATATTTTCTCAAGGGTTGGTTTGCAAATTGATTGCAAACAATAATTCATAATAGTCTCCATTAATGGATACAAATGTTTTCCAATCTTAAGCTATCTTGCAACTAACGTATTTGTATTATTTTCAATTATTAGTCCCATGCACGCACACACACATATAACCATTTTTCCAACTAATTTTACAAAGCAAAATTGGTGTGGATTTTATTGGTTTGAACAATTTGATATGTAGCTGCAAAAGATTGTTATATTCTTCTGAATATGCTAAGCTAAATAGCAATCAACTTGCTTTACGTCCTTCTTTGTCAACAATGAGGTGATCTTTTTTCTGCAGAGAATAACATGCATGCTAGCTAGTTAATTTGAATTGTGCTTTTGACCTATATTAATTATTGTTAAGTAGCACTGAGTAAATTGAAGTCATATCAACAAGATGTAAATTTTGTTTTAATGTCCCCAAATGGTATAAACTATTTGAATTGTTGAGTGGATGTGTTGTTTTTGTTGTTATATTGTTTGCAGGTTTTAGGAAATGTTATAGTTTTAGGGGAGGTGCCGAATTTTCGATACAAACTAGAATTCGTCTAATGTTTACTTTGTTTATTTGGTAGGTTAAAAAAAAAAACCAGGGACCCTTGCACACTCCTTAAGACGTCACAGACCACTCGCACCACGACCGAGAAGATCACCATGACGTGGGATCCTCGACATTGTGCGGCTACAACAAAGGAGCAACACAATGCGTTGGCCACCGACGTTGGGTCGGTTATCAAGACCATTGCCCCCTCAGGTGGGAGTCATGGAGAGCTATCCCACAAGAATTCAAGGACATGTTTTTCATGAATTATCGGTAAGTAATTTCAACCTTAAATACTAAATTTTTATTACAATATACAAAGATTATAAATTTTAACTACTATTTATTTGTTGAGTTTTGCAGCATTACTATGAGCTCTCCAACCTAGATGCCAATCAACTGCAATACATCAACGACCTTTGCTCCGATAGGTTCACTCAATGGAAGAGCGACCTCCACAAGCATTATGAGCTATATGACGTTCCGTAGGTCGTTCTAGAAGTTGGGCGCCCTATATAGTTGGTGGACCGTCGGGATGAATTGGAGTGACTCTGCAGCCATTGTCAAGATGAGAAATACCTAGTACGTATATTATATATTTCAATAATATATTAATAAAAAATTTACACTTTTAAATAAAATTTTCATTTTTTCATTCATTTGTTATACATATCTAAACTAATACATTTTTTTAATTCAACAAAAAAAAGTTAAAGCAAACTTGATCAATCGGTCGAAGAAGAAACTTCTTCACCTATCCGGCTAACAACGCTTCTCTTATAGGTTGGAGGAGCAATGTTAAGGTAACCGTATATTTATTTTAAGTTTTCAATCTTTTTACTCTTTATTACAAATTTGGTAATCTATGTTAACACTTTTTAAATTTTTTCAGGGGGGTCAAAGTTTCCTAAAATTGACATGTTCAAGGAGGTGTACGTTTGGTCCGAGGATGAGCTGATGGAGCAGCTTCATGTAAGTTATTTCAAATTTTTAATATTCATTTAGTATTAATATTAATTACATGTATATTCAAATTAATTTGTTTTTTTTTTTTCATTTTTCTAGGCCACCAAGGTGGAGAAGGGCCAGACCATTCTGAAGGAGGTGGCCTCCCAGCTTCCCCTAGAGACCTCAATCGAGGAGGTGTTTCCCCCTGAGGATGCTGAGTTTCATATCATGATAAACACACTTGATTAGACCCTCGGTTGTCGACATGGGAATGTTCACCGGGGTCTTGGGAAAGCCCGCCTTAGGGACCCGTCTACCTCATCCTCCAGGCAGAGAACTAAAGAGGTCTAAACGCTAACATCTGAAGTAGTGGTCTTGAAGGAGCAGATTGCAGCCCAAAACAATTTGATGATCCAAATACATCGCGCACTTCAAATCTCTAGCATTCACTTCCCCAACATTGAACCACCTCGAGAAATGACCTCTCAGCCCCCTGCTGCAGCAGCTACGACCTCCCAGCCCCCCAACACAGCAAGAACACCACCAGCTGGCGATTGTAACGTCGAGGACTACTTTTTTAGTTTTGTTTTAAATTGTTTTCAAATTTAAAAATACTTTTTTTCCATTGTAGTACATTTACATTAATTTTTTAATTCAATATTCTTCTTTACAATTTCTATTTTTAATTTCATTAAATTCATTTAAAAAACTAATTTAAAAATAAACGAAAAAAAGTAAATAATATATTATTTAAAAATAAATAATAAATCATTTGAAAATCTTACTGCGACAGCCTCTATATCCATCGTGCAAGAGTTTGTGGGTCGAATATGATGTCCGTCGCGCAACAGTTTGTGGGACAAACCATGTCCGTTGCGCAACAGTTTAGGGGTCGAACCCTAGTTTCATTGCTTGGTACGTGCAATGATCACCAATTCCGTCAAGCAACTTCATTTTGTGCGACGAACAATTTCCCTTCTTCGCGCAATGCCTAACGTCATGAGCTTTGCGCAATAGAATTTGCGCGACGCTCTCTTCGCCGCCCAATGTTTCCGACGATGGTTTTTTTCTTTGTGCGATGCTTTCCCTTTCGTCGTCCAAGGAGTTATTCCTAGTAGTAAATTTAGTAATCAAATTCTTCCAACTCTCCAAAATGTCGAATTAAATTTATTTTTAAATGAAATTTATATTTTTATATGTTGTGAGTCACTATTTAGGAATAAGATAGCAATCATATAACTAGCTTAAATACTTAAATGCATTTAATTCTATAATGCAAGGTCAGTAGGTTGGTTTCATCTTTCTCGATATCATGTATATAAAAAAAGCAAATAAAAATACAAGATTTGAAGAGATGCCTTCTTTTTTTCTTGAATAAAAAACGTTATGTCTGTCAATCTATAAATAATTCGTCCGCACCGTAGCATGTGAATGTTATGTGTATTGACAGAGAGAATACGCGAGTCTTTGAAAAATTCAATCTATTCTAAAACTCAAAATCAACTGTATTACTGTTCATAAGCACAGTGTGCTTCCTATTTTGCCCTCAGTTAGTTTGTATTATTTGAAGTCTGCCACTGACCAAAGCATCTCTCGACAGCTGGAATCGCACTCACCTCTTCTTCCTGCTTTAGGTGGTTCATTCTTTCCATTGGATTATGTTTGGGTGAGTTCTTCGTTCATAGTTGCGCTCCTCCCGACTTCGATTCCCCGTTCGAACACAAACCCAAACCTTTTCATCTCCTTCCCCAAATCAACACGATCATCCATTAATTTTAATTCGCGCCCAAGTCCTTAGAACGCTCGAACCCAATTTGGGTTCGATATTCCCGCCGACTTTCAAAGGTTTTCCGGTGGCGGCTGGCCCTGCAACCAAAACTATTTGACTCAGACAATCCCAACAACAACATGTGAGCTTTGCATGCTCGAATCTACCCGTCGATCAAAGATTTCCATAAGTCCACCTTGCGGTGGGTTTTTTCGACGAGGATCGGAATCTTTTTCGGCCAATTTCAGGCCTTTGAGACCTTTTTTGGGTCCAGCCAAGGTAATACTTTTACTCTACACCTTCGAAAGTTACCCCAATTGTATTCTCTCTTTTTCTACACTTTTGCAAGGTAACAATTACTAATTTAGTTTTTCAAGAACAAAAATTGCTGCTTTTATGTTTTTGATTAATTTATTTGCTTTGAAGTTTGAGAATTTGGAACTGGTATGCAGGATGATCATGAATGAATGGTACTCTTCTGCAATGGCGGGATTTGTTATCTGTGGGGCAACTGATTGGTTGAGTTATTTCGAAGCGTTTTTCATAGAAATTGATTTATGCTGGACATAGTTGCATGATTCATAATGATTAGGCTTGAAACAGATTCTGTAAATCAATTTTGGTGGAGGAGTTGTTCCGTAGCCTGAGGAAGAACATAGCAATGTTTTTGAAACAAGGTCTGGCCGAAATTTTTCTATAAAATTTCACAATTTTTGAGTTTTAAGCCATTCAAATTGGTTTGTTAAGTAGGAATAAAAATACCAATTAATTAAAGATTAGTAATTTTCTCAAGAACTAATTACTAACCAAATTCACATCTGCCTGTATTAATCTATTAAGTAGGTTATCTATTGATTTTTTTTTTTAGTGATTTTGTGTACAGAGTGCTGTGTTGGAACCAACAATGTTGTATAGTCTAATTATTGTCCCTTAATATGATTGAATTTTAATTAGTTGTATGTATATCCAGAACTAACTCCGCCTATGTCTTACATGGCCGGTCCCAAGCCCGGATAAAGGAGGAGGGGGAGGGCGTCAGGTAGTCGACAGCCGGCACTCCATGATCACGTCGAATCCTTATGAAAATGAATCCAGAACAAAATCGCGCTAAAGCTAGGGCGTCACCCGTAAGTGGCGCGCTGTGTGGCCTGAGCACAGTGATAAGTGAGCAAGGGTCGCTGTATCTCCATCGGCACCCGGATGCAGTGTTAAATGAGCAAGGGGGCCATATAAACTTCTTTTCGAACGACTCCACTCAAAGTTGTTTGGGAGCATATGCTCCTATCAACTTTACCCGGGACACACAAAAAGAAGTACTTTGATCCTATTAGACGGGGGAGGTGAAGAAGCTAGGACAGAAGGGTAGAGTTCAAGAGAGCAAAATGCGTTTAGGAACGTGGAATATAGGAACCTTAACGGGAAAATCTATGGAAGTAGTGGAAGTTATGGTGAGGAGAAGGATAAATATTATGTGCCTACAAGAAACTAAGTGGGTTGGTAGTAAGGCAAAGGATCTAGAAAACTCAGGGTTTAAACTTTGGTATTCGGGCACAAATAGAACGAGAAACGGTGTTGGCATCATCGTGGACAAGACCTTGGTACAAGATGTTGTAGATGTCAAGAGGGTAGGAGATAGAATCATGGCAATCAAGATTGTAATAGGACAAGAACTTATCAATGTGATTAGTGCGTACGCACCTCAAGTAGGGTTGGATACGAGTTCGAAGGAGAAATTTTGGGAAGATCTTGGAGACTTGGTGCAAGGAATTGCTCAGACGGAGAAGTTATTTATAGGAGGAGATTTAAATGGACACGTGGGCAGGGAGACAGGCAACTATGGAGGTTTTCATGGTGGCCATGGTTTTGGGGGAGAGAAACGAGGATGGGGAAGCTATCTTGGATTTTGCAATGGCATATGATCTCTTCTTAGCCAACACCTTCTTTTAAGAAGAGAGAAGAACATGTGATCACCTACAAGAGTGGGTCGTCAAAAAACACAAATAGATTTTCTTCTAATGAGGAAAGGGGATCGTATAACTTGTAAGGATTGCAAAGTTATACCAGGAAGAGAGCGTGGCTAATCAACATCGCTTGTTGGTGATGGATGTACATATCAAAAGAGTAAGACAAAAGAACAAGACTTGGAAGTGCCCAAGGACTAGATGGTGGAATCTAAAAGAAGAAAAACAAGCCATTTTCAAAGAGAAGGTAATCACCCAATGTGTGTGTGGGATAGAGAGGGGGAAGCTAGCCAAATGTGGGATTCCATGGCTAGTTGTATCCGAAAAGTAGCAAAAGAGGTATTAGGAGAGTCCAAGGGCTTTGCCCCACACCAAAAGGAATCTTGGTGGTGGAATGAGGAGGTCCAAACAAAGGTGAAGGCTAAGAAGGAATGTTGTAAAGCCTTATACAAGGAGAGGACTGATGAAAATGGTGAAAGGTATAGAAAAGCGAAGCAAGAGGCGAAGAATGCTGTCAGAGAAGCTAAGTTAGCGGCTTACGACGATATGTATAAACTACTAGATACCAAAGAAGGAGAGTTGGATATCTATAAACTATCTAGAGCAAGGGAAAAGAAGACAAGGGACCTAAACCAAGTGAGGTGCATCAAGGATGAGGATGGAAAGGTTTCTTGCTACAGAGAACGCGGTTAAAGACAGATGGAGAGGTTATTTTCATAATCTTTTCAATGAAGGACATGAAATGAGTGCTTCTTTAGGGGAGTTGAGTAACTCAGAAGAGTGTAGAAACTACTCTTTTTATCGTCGAATCCGGAAGGAAGAAGTGGTTGTAGCTTTGAAGAAGATGAAGCATAAAAAAGCAATAGGCCCAGACGATATACCAATCGAAGTGTGGAAACTTTTGGGAGAAACAGGTATAACATGGTTCACTGACCTTTTCAATAGGATTTTTGAAAAACGAAGAAGATGCCAAATGAGTGGCGAATGAGCACTTTGGTGCCTATCTACAAGAATAAGGGCGACGTACAAAATTGCATGAACTATAGGGGTATTAAGCTAATGAGTCATACAATGAAGCTCTGGGAGAGAGTCATTGAGCATAGATTGAGGCAAGAGACACGGGTTTCGGACAACCAATTCGGGTTCATGCCAGGGCGCTCAACCATGGAGGCAATCTATCTCTTACGAAGATTGATGGAAAGATATAGAGATGGGAAAAAGGATTTACACATGGTCTTTATAGATTTGGAAAAAGCGTATGATAGGGTCCCAAGAGACATTCTTTGGAGGATTTTAGAGAAGAAAGGAGTACGAGTAGCATATATCCAAGCTATAAAGGATATGTATGAAGGAGCAAAGACTGCCGTAAGAAGAACTCATGAAGGACAAACCGAAATTTTTCCCATAACTGTAGGATTACATCAAGGCTCATCCTTAAGTCCTTACCTTTTTGCGTTGGTAATGGATGAGTTAACAGGACATATTCAAGATGATATTCCTTGGTGTATGCTTTTCGCAGACGATATAGTGTTGATAGATGAAACTCAGGAAGGGGTAAATGCAAAGCTTAACCTTTGGAGAGAAGTGTTGGAATCTAAAGGTCTTCGCCTAAGCCGATCAAAGACAGAATATATGGAGTGCAAGTTCAGTGCAAATGGAGGCCAAAACGAGTTAGGGGTGAGGATCGGAGATCAAGAAATACCAAAGAGCGACCGTTTTCGTTACCTAGGATCTATCTTGCAAAAGAACGGAGAATTAGATGGAGATCTCAACCATAGAATACAAGCTGGATGGATGAAGTGGAAGAGTGCATCCGGCGTGTTGTGTGACCGCCGTATGCCACTGAAGCTCAAGGGAAAATTTTATAGGACGGCAATAAGGCCGGCGATGCTGTATGGCACAGAATGTTGGGCGGTGAAACATCAACACGTACACAAAATGGGTGTAGCGGAGATGAGGATGCTTCGTTGGATGTGTGGGCACACGAGAAAGGATAAGATTAGGAATGAGGATATTCGGGGTAAAGTAGGAGTAGCCGAAATTGAAGGAAAGATGAGAGAAAATCGGTTACGGTGGTTTGGACATGTGCAAAGAAGGCCTACTGACGTTCCGATTAGAAGATGCGACTATGGGACAGAGGTTCAGGGCCGAAGGGGTAGAGGAAGACCTAGGAAAACTTTGGAAGAGACTCTAAGAAAAGACTTAGAGTACTTGGATCTAACGAAGGACATGACACAGGATCGAGCACAATGGCGTTCTAAGATTCATATAGCCGATCCCACTCAGTGACTTGGATTTTCCAAGTCTCCAACCGAGAAGTTTTCCTCACTCGGGAAATTAAGGGAACACTACCCAACCTACATGCTCCACTCAGAAAGCTTCAACATACAAGCTTAACAAAAGAAAATTCAAAGAACTTAGCGAAGAAGGCTTTGGTGTATTTAACACAATACGTTGAAATGAAGGAAAAGCTTATTTATTGATATCCCCGATAAGCTACAAATATGTACATATACATGAGTCAAAATAAGCACACAAGAGGGAGCCTTCACAAAGGTTGCTTAGGAGAAGTCTCAGCAGTCGGTAGAGCCCCAGAAAGAGAAGGCACCGGAGGGGGATCATTTGGAGCCTCAGTACTGGACAGAACCCTAGAAGGAGGAGGCATCAGAGGTTGATCATTTGGAGCTTCATTACGCGGTACAGCCCCAGAAGACGAAGGCAATAAATGCCTTTGGAACAAACCCACAAATCTCTGATGATCAAGTAAAACCTGACCATCAGTTTCCTTCATCTGGTCAAGCTTCCTCTTCATGTTTGTAGCATAGTCATGTGCGAGCCGGTGCAACTGTTTATTCTCATGCTTGAGCCCTCTAATCTCCTGTTTGAGACTCATCACTTCAGCCGCCAATGATTCAACTTGGCGGGTTCGAGCAAATAGGCGTTGGGGCCATATTAGACACAGAACCTGCACACTGAACACTGAGAGCCAGCGAATCCTTAACAGCTAACTCATCAGACCGTTTGGAAAGTAGTCTGTTATCTTTGGGAGTGAGAAGGTTCCTGGCCACCACCGCAGCGGTCATATCATTCTTCATCACGGAATCCCCAACGGTAAGAGGACCAGTAGGGGAGACGAAGGATGGGCGCCATATGTTGTCTGGAGAAGGCGGGGCTGCCTCTTCAACAAGGTTCAAGTCAAAACGACGGTCGGAGGGGCCAGACATTTTCAAAGGTGTTGAAGAGAGAAGAGGTCGGACAAATCAAGATCTTAGAAGTGCAAGAATGAAGCTTCTACTGGTGGAGATTCAAGTGTGCTTTGGAACTTAATGCCAGCCCCTATAAAAATCTGCACTCGACGAAGCTTCAGAAATCGAAGAGGCGCCTGCTCAGAAATCGAAGAGGCGTTTGCTTTTCTCAAAAGCTGGGCTGCTTAGAGATCACGAGGGTTGATCTCAGAAATCGAAGAGGCGTTTGCTTTCTCAAAAGTTGGGCTGCTCAAAGACCACGAAGGCCGATCTCAAAAATCGAAGAGGCGCTCGCTTTCTCAAAAGCTGGGCTCCCCAGAGACCACGAGGGCCGATCTCAGAAATCGAAGAGGCACCTACTTTTCCAGCCTTTTCCAGCCTTGTCAGCACCTGTCACACGCACACTCAGCTTTTGCGGAAATTATGGGCATTCTGTCAAAGACTTCTGGGGAAGTAGAAAACACATGAATCTTACTGTTCAATCACCCACTTCCCACACGCAACAATAGCTCATGGGTACCACAGATAACTTTGCCAAAGTTCTCTGCCAAAGTTGAGCACGTGAAGCTTGCAGCTCCCACTACATCGCTCTGACCAAGAAGGGTAAAAGAATAGCAAAGAAACAGCACTAACAAAGTTTAGACCCATAAATTTTGAAGGTCTAGCTACCATATTATTACCCACAAGGGTAAAGGAACAGTACCACTGCTGGATAATTGGAAAGTCCCTGTGTGTCAACCTCTGTGC